CATTATCTTTTTATGGCCGTAGAGGCTTGAGATTATAGATCTTTAGCTTTGTAGGGGTAGATATAATAATCTAGTTTTGAAAAAGCATGCTTTTAATTTGAAACCTTTTAAAAAACGCTATTTTTTTAATGAAATTTAAATAAATCTTCGAAATTGAAATGAAAGAAGCCTCTTCTGCTCAAGACCCCTACCATCTATAGAGTCTCTATAGCTCTTTCTTGATTATTTACATTTTCCACAACCAGCAGGGGCAGCAAAACACAACAAGAGATACCGAGATACTCAGATACCTCGCTGCCAGTTTCATTTGCGTTGCGGGGAAGCCAAAGCCGCCAAATAAAGAATCATAAAAGATATCAAAATAAATATAGAAGGGGGTTTCGCAGTAGCATTGGAGCTCAGCAGGCGCTCTCATTGTTGGCTGACTCGAGGGGGGAAACGCGAACAAATAAACTCGCCAAAAAGCAGCTAGCTCTTTGCTTTTTTTGCTTGATGGACTGCGAACCTCAGAGACCTTTTCCACAGAGCCCCCCACCCCCACCCCTCCATTCCAGTAAGTCATTATGTGACTATCTGACTGACTGGCAGCCAGGCCAAAACAAAAAAAAAACCAGCCGCTAGGCAAATAAACAGACAGAGTTTTATGAGACTTTGCTTTGCTTTTTCTTAACTTTGCTTTGCTTTGCTTTCAGACTTCTTGACTGACCAATAGATACATTTTGTTGGATGTGCCTTGCGGCACTAAAAATCCAAAGATTATTACCAGTTGACTTTAGTCGACACTCGACTGCGATGATGGAGGTTCCCTCGGCGCCCAAAATTCGCTTCGGTTTCCCCACTAAATTAGTTGACGCCATTCGCTTTTTTTCGCTATTTTTGGCAACGAAATTGTCGGCGCGTGTAGCAGACAGAAACAGTTAACAACATATCAACTCAGATAAGACATAAACAAGTCAAAATCTACACGATTTGGCCTTTTTTTCGCCAAGCATGCGGGGCAGAGCAAAGCAAAGCAGAGTTGGGAAAAAGCAAAGCCAGCTTGACAGTTTCAAATGTGAGTCAGATTAGGCAGTTGATGGTATTTTGAAATATAAAGTTTAGGAAATATTAAAAGCAAAGAAAGGAGTTAGAAAAAGCAAAGAAAATTTAGGAAAAGCAAGGCAAAGTTAGAAAAAGCAAAGAAAAGCATGAAAATTTTGCTTAAATAAGGTAGTTACTAGTATTTTGAGAATGAAATTTGTAAAATATTGAAAGAAAAGCAAGAAATGTTCAGAAAAGTAAAAGCAGAGTTAAGAAAAGCAAAGCAAAGTTAGAAAAAGCAAAGCAGAGTTATAAAAAGCAAAGAAAAGTAAGAAAAAGCATGAAAATTTGCCTCAAATAGGGTAGTTAATAATATTTAGAGAATTAAAACGCGTAAAATATTGAGAAATAAGCAAGAAATGCTCAGAAAAGCAAAGCAAAGTTAAGAAAAGCAAGGCAGAGTATTAAAATTTGACTTAAATACGGTAGTTAATAGAGTTTAAATCATAAAACTTGCACGAAATGCTAAGAAAAGCAAAGCAGAGTTAAGAAAAGCAAAGCAAAGTTAGAAAAAGCAAAGAAAAGCATGTAAATTTTCATTAAATTAGTAAGATAATACTATTTAAAGTATAAAACTTGTTCTAATATCAATAAATGTTGAGAAAAGCAAAACAAAGTTTCAAAAAAGCAAAGTTGAGCAAAACAAAGTACTAAAATTTCCACTAAATTAAGTGAAACAGCATTCAGAAACAGCAGCTCTATAAAAATTGAGACTAAATTAAAGTTTTCCCCCCACATTTATCAAAATTTAACCTTTTTTTGTTGGTCTTTTAATTAAAAAGTATTTTATTGTCAGGGCAATTAAAAAAAAGCCAGCAACATAAATAATTGTATGATGTAATGTCAGCAAGGCAAAAATAAATAATTATGAAATATTTGCATGGCGTTTGCTAGAAATTGTATTTTCATTTCTGAATTTATTTTCACTCCCCCCACCCCCCTTTTGGAGGTTTTTCTGTGACGGGCCTGCTTATCAGGGAATTGTTTGCATTTCAGCCTTTATTTATTCTGTGTCATAAAAAATAAATATTAATTGCGATTATCGCAATAAGATATTGCTATATTTACACGTTATAATTAATTGTTCTTATTTATTGAATTTGTGAACAATAATGGATTGTCTACCTCCCACTCTACCCCCTTGTCTACCCCCTTTCGGAAATTGAGTTATTTGCACTGTGGAAAATAAACACAAATATGTGTGCATAAAATTAAACTTGTTTAAATGACATTAAGTGTGGTTTTTTATTGAGCTTTCATTTTGTATCTCATCCTATACAGATACACAGAATACTGAAATATGCAAATTGGTATTTGTGAGATATAATATAATTTATCTGCATGTTTGGGCCGACCGCCCTGCGGCTCAAAAGCATAAATTAATTATCAAAAGCATTCATTTACATGCCTGACTGAGCGATCCGACACCCGCTGTCTCGCTGTCTTGCTGTCTCGCTGCCTCCCAGATACAGATACTGTATCTGTATCTGTATCTCATGGATGTGTACTACACAGACACATTTGAAAAACATCATCACAATCAATTTGCTTCGTTTCTCGTGATGGGAATTTAGTTTTTTCTGTTTTTTTTTGTCGTTTTTTTTTATTTTCAGTTGCTTGGCCCACATTATCTAGCGAATACTGTATGCTTTGTTGTTGCTTTTTGTTGTTGTTTTTTTGCTGCCTTCCTACATGTGTTTAGCGTGTTCAGAAATTTGCTTTTTTAATGACGCTCTTGTTGATTGCCGGCTATTTGTTGCTGCCCCCCCTCCCCTGCTGTCGGCTGCCCTTGTTTCTACTTGGAAATATTTTTATCTTTTTTTTGGCCATTTTTTAATGCAATTTATAGAGATTATACTCTCCCTTCTGGCTATCTAATCTCTTGGAGCTTCTCAGGGAAATATTTAATGGATGGCAGGGTATTCCCCAGGTCGCTTACGTGTCACACGTGTCTCTGCTGGCGAAAAACTGAAATAAAATCTATTTCCAAATGGCTGGAATTGAAATTGCAAGCTCGGCTGGGGCGGACAGCTAGGCAGCTGGAGGGCAGGCGTGGAGGCGGCTGTTGGGGAAAATTGAACAAATCAATTAAGTCTAATCGTGCCATGCCCGGTTCTCAGTAGCTCCGAGGGGTGGGGCAACAGTAGCAGACAAATAAATGTCTGCAGAGACCAGAGACTAGAGCCACATGCTACAAATTATAAACACTGTAATTATATTCGTATAATATTTTGTCAGCCAATTGACACATTTGCCACAAAGGGGAGATGCCGGAGAGCGGCCTTAAGCCCACCACCTCTATCTTTATTTTATTTTTCAAAAAAAGTATCTCTACTTTCAAGCTTAAGATATCTTTGTATCTTGCAGTTTGCTGGCCACTCTTACCCTCGCACAGTGTGACAAATTGTGTATCTACAAGTACGTCGGTTGGTTGCATGCCTGGTTCTCTTTACACACAAGCTCAGTTCGGTTCGGTTTGGTTCGGTTCGGCCTGGTGCTGGTGCTGGTACTGGTGCTGGTGGTGCTAATGACCGTAACTAAGTTGGCGTCACGATTGTGTGCGCCACTGGAAGCCAACTCCCCACCCCACCCCCCGACCCCCGAGTCCGTCCCGAACGAGAGCCCAGCCTAATAGTCGCTTAATTGTATCTGCGTGTGCGTATCTGTATCTATATATCGCTAGCTGTATCTGTGTATCTGTATCTATGCATTTATGACTAAACAGTTGTTTAAATAAACAATTTTGGCATGTTTACAGTGGGAATTATAGCGAGTTGAAATGCGGCTGCAATGTTTACTTAATTAAAGCAACCAAAACAGGGGGGGTACCATATTATAAACTGGTATTTGAAATAAACTGCCATCGAGATAAGGCGGCGATGGCTGATTTGCTTCCGGAATTCGTTTAGAATTTAAATTCAAAAACAAAAAATAGAAAGAAACTATCGTGAATATGCGATGACACCTTGTTCGATGATAACGGTTGCTATTATTAAATCACTTCCAGGAGATTATGGCCTATAGATACCCTTTAAAAGCAAAGACCAGGTCTTAAAGGCCCTGTACAAACCTTATCAGACCAGTTCACACACACCTTTGGAAAGTTACCAGCCCCAGCCCACCACACGCCCTTGCCACACACCCCCCACTCTGGAGCCTACCGCACTGTCTTCCCACAAAAACCCCAAATTATATCCACTTCCAATAAATCTGAAAAAGGCTAGAGTGTGTACACACCGGGCCTGTCAATTTTCTAATCGCCCGAAATAACAAAAAAATCCATTTAATTACAAATCGGCTTAGATTGAAACGCCTTAATTGGCATTAACTCGAAAAAAATATGTTTTTTTATGAGCGAGCATGTGTGTGTGTGAGTGTGTGTGGCAAGTGGCAACTGGCTGGCGGCAATTAATCAAACTGGAAATCAATTTACCCACCAGCCAGTGTTACCATAACAGCTATTTTTCAAGCCAAAAACTGGCTATTTTACAGAAGAGCATAAAAAGATACAGTATCTTAAGCTATTATTGGTGGATGAGTGGCTATTTGTTAGATACTTTTGATATCTTATTGTGAATCAAATTGGAAATCACTTTACTGGCCCACCAGTGTTACCATATCAGCTATTTTTTAGCCAAAAACTGGCCTTGTTTGAGCAGGACATGAAAAGATACAATATCTTAAGCTATTAACTGCGTATTGATGGCTATTTGTTAGATACTTTTCCAAATCAAATTGGAAATCCAATTCACTAGCCAACCAGTGTTACCATTTTAGCTATTTTTCAAGCCAAACTCTGGCCACTTTAATGAAAACCACTAAAAGATACAATATCTTTTAAATAATTCTCTTATTTTTAGATACTTTTTGTATCTTTTTTTCTATTACTATCCTACACTGCAAAAAAATGTTATCCTTACCTTTTTATAAATCCAAAATAGTCGCAATTTCTGCTCTGGATATGCGCATTCCCGGTTCGTAGACAGCATCCAAAATTGGTCAGAAGGCGACCTGCGGGGCGGGGGAGGGGTAGGGTAATAGAAATGGGTGGTGATGGGTGGCAGGCAGGTGATGAGTCCCGTAGCTTGCTGCTCTGCTCGCACTCCCAACCCAAACAGCTACCGACCGAGTGCGAGTGCGACGAGGAGAGAGAGAGCGCGCGAGAGGGCGTAATAATCCACAAAAGAAACGCTGCCGACTTCTCAGCAACTAACTCCCAACTCCTCCCTTGGCACACACGTAGCACACGGCGGGGGGGGGTGTGGGGGGATTGGCAGGAAAAAAATGTAAATCCGCAAAATTTTCCTAGCAGCGCTTTTCTTTGCTTTTCCACCTCCGCCTCCGCCTACGGACTCTGAACGAGCGAGCGAGCAATCTCAGGAATTATTTTCCGTTTATGTAAGAGCGAGAGAGCCTCTGCTAAACTCTTTTTTGCCTCTGGCTTGGCTTTTCTTTTTTCAGATTCTTTTTCTGCTTCTTCTTTTAGATTCTCTTGACGTTTGTCGTTGTTGTTGTTGTTGCTGTTTTTCACTTCTTTGACACTTTTTGCATTTTCTTTACTTTTTCTTTTTTTTTTGCGACAAATGTATGAACTTTTTTATGAGGTTAGTTGTTGTTTTTTCTTCATTTCTCTACAAATACACGAAAAAACGGCACTTTGAGTAAGCCAGCAAAGAACGCGAGAGAGAGAGAGAGGGAGAGCGAAAGAGACAGCGCCAGGTCCAAGCTCTGATGTACATACATGTATGTATGTATGTATTTGGCAGAACAGAAGCTGCTCCACCACACATACCTACATACAATCGTATGTATATTAATATATATATATATATATGTATGTATAACAAAACGACGAACAGAGCTTGGGGCATTAAAAAAATACACGGGGGAGTTGCACGAAGACGGGAGCGACAAAGAGACTAAACGACTGACAGACCGACCGACCGACCGACGACGCGACGCGATGCGACGACTTCACCTTGCACACGCGCCCGCGCACAAATCGGAAATTGGTGAGAGCGACGATGCGACGACGAGTTCCACAGCGTTTGTCGGCGTTCTTTTTACCGCAATGTTTGTGCGAAACATAAAAAAAGCTTGCACATACACATACACACACACACACACACTTACACACTACCATACCAGAGCAAGCGAGAGCGAGAGACTAGCATAGAGAAAGAGAGGAAGAGCGAGAGCTAGAGAGGGCAACTGTGGGGCCGAGCTGTATAGTAATTTTATTCCGGTACTATTCAACTGATGGAGCTTCTGTTGCTGTTGATGTTGTTGTTGTTGGCAACATATTGCCAGTGCCACACTCTCGTTTGGTTTTTTTCCTCTCTTTTCTTTTTTTTTTACTACTATTGTGGCTTACTACTTTTTAGTAGTATTTCATTTTTTTTTTTTGGCTGCTACTTCTGCTGGTGATTATGACGATGTAGCTGATGATTTCGCTGCTCTTTTCACACAAACACACTCTCACACACACACACATACAATCTCACGCACAAGTCAGGCCCAAGTGGGTAATTTGTTTTATGAGTAGCGGCAAATAGCACTTGTGTATGATTGTCGCTGCTTTTTCTGCTGCTGCTGCTGCTGCTGATTCTTGTGAATGACAGACAGCTACGACTAATAATTTTTAATGCGTTTTTGGAATTTCTACGCTGCCATGGGTTAATTGCTTGAAATGCGACGCGACGCGACAACCACACTCGCTATATACACACATACATACGCGCGTACATATGTATTGATCGGCCGCACGATCCGAGAGAGGCGGCTATAACAACGCTCGTCGTTGTTTTGTTGTTGCTGGTGCTCCGATTTAATTAAATGCACAATTCAAATACACAGATTGGCAAACGATTCGCATACTTATTTTATCTCTTATTAGCACATGGAGTAATCCATACATATAGATGTTTTTTCTTTCCACAAATAGTTGTTTTTCTTTTCAAATAGACACTCAGTGTTTTTTTTTTTATTGGCGACAGCGTTTTTCCGAAGCGAAGGAGCAACGTAGTACCGCTCCGTTTTCCGCTTTTCCAATCGTCCGCTCCGCTCGCAACCGCACAGCGCGAGAAATTTTGTTTGTTTGAATTTGAAGCGAGTGGCCAGTGTACAAGCCGTTGCACGAGCCGACATGTATACGAGTTTGCCGAGGATGAGAGCGAGAGCGGCGTGAGAGCGCCAGGAGAGAGAGAGAGGGAGAGAGACCGGTTGGGCCAGCGATGGGAGCCGTCCTCTTAACGTCCAGTGACACCCAAGATACCTGACCAAAATCATAAAATCAAAATATCTATTGCTTATCAATCAAAGTCAATCCGCGGACCAACAAACCGGCACCTTTTACCTTGAATCCAATGGGCGTGAAAGAGATGGCATTCCCTATTGTTTTCCATCTTTAGATACCCCACCTGCCCCCTTGGGCCTAAATGAGATTGTTTTTTTTTCTTGGATCGCCCTGTTGGCATTCGGTTTTTGGCCATCGGGTATACCCTGTGTGACACAAAATCCTCTCCCATGTGCTCTCACGACATGCGCTCTTTCGGCACTGCTGACGCCATGTTGTATATGTATATGTTCATCTCTTTCCAATTTGTTTACTTGTTGTTTTTGTTGCTCTCGCTGTGCCTGTTCCTGTGTCTTTTGCAAATTGTTTTTGGTGGGGTCCTGAGGATTGATTACTGATTGGCATGTCGACCATAGCCTCTTCCCTTGTTGTCGTTGTTTGTACGGCTCCTTGTCCTTCCTACCAACTCGCTTTGTCGGTTGTTTTAGGTGGCCCAAGTCCGTTGTCTTTCACCTCATCCACCCACCCACCCACCACACACGCACGCACACGTTTGCGCCGTGCACCTCGCCCCCCCACCCACTCAATCCTGTCGGCTTGTCGGGGAGCAGCATATAATGACATAATGAGATTTATTAGGCGCAAAATAAAGCCATAATGTTCCATTTGACCTTTGTGTAACTTTGACAGTGGTAATTTTTGCCTTCCTGTGGCTCCACACAGCTTATTATTTCGATGACACGACCGAGGGGCATCCGAGGGGCATCGGAGGAACATCCGAGGGCGGTGCAAATCGGAGGAGCGTTTCCAATTCGTCATCGGTGGCCGTGGGGCTCTGAATTTTGAAAGTTGCCTTTTGCACTCATCGGAGCAGAAGGCAAATAAATTTCCACTTTGCTTAAGCGACAGGTCAGGGGTGTTTATTTTCTTTTTTTTTGAGGCTAACAAAATATACACTTTTGTTTTTAAAAACAATTACTTTGATTTGTTAAAATATCTCAAAAAAGTGTTGCCTACTTCTAGGCTATGCTGCTGACGTTCTACATGCCATGTAAAATTCATGTAAAAATAAACTTTCTCTTCGCTTGGGAGAACTAATTTGTGGAATATCCTCAAGTTTGGCCAACTTTCACCTCTGAATCCAGTCCTGTTTTTATAATATTTTCATCCTTTCGGTTGTACCCCCGCCCCCTCCCAAGCCGGAAAACTTGTTTGTGCGCTGTGCAAGCAAATACACTCACTCCGCTCCTGCCACATCCTTACACATCCTTACAAAGTGTTTGCTTGTTGTTTTTCCATTGGCATTCGGGCACGCTCTCTCAATTTTATTGCTGTGATTCTGATTTCTAGTTGGATTTGACTACACGCACACATGGACGCAGCCAGGACGAGGGCAGGACGAGGGGCAGGGGCGTGTGTGTAAGGCATTTGGGGAATTGATATCCTTGTGCGCTTTTTGCTAAAGTTCAAATATTTTTCATTTTATTGCTGACACACACACACACACTCGAACATCCATCGTCCTGGCGCGGATGGAGGGGGTGAAGTAGAATGAGACACGCATGTCCTGGGCCCAAGGGTGCTCAGGCAAACAACATTTGTCAATGCTGGCAATATTTCACTCCGGAATGGCTCAGTCCGTTTACGGCTCAGTGCCCGGCCAAAGGACCAAAAGTACCAAAGTACCTCAAAGGACCTTATAAGGCCTGACTTTATTACATACATAGTCCTAATAACAGTATAGTTTTTACATGGAAATTATAACCTCAAAATTATATCAGTATGTCCTTAATTTATTACCACTTGACATGTTTGAACTTGTTTATGTGTGTTTTTCTGTCCAAAATGAAAATAATCCCCCCAGAGGCTTCCGTTTCTGGCCAAAAATGTTGCACATCGATTGTGGCATCCACCCGCAATGAGCAAATTATGTAATTATGTGCATTTCAGCAAAAAAAGAGAGAAAAAAAAGAGAAACAAATAGAATACAAATGTGAATGGGAATGCTAATGAAGCCATTATTATTTTATGCGCTGTTTAAACAAGTACCCTGCCCCCTGCCCCATGCTCCATGGCCCATGCCCCATGCCCCATGCCGCAAGCCGGTGTGGCATGAATAATAAACGTTGGCAAAAAGGCGAAACTTCAGCCGGCGGATAAATAAATATTAATGCCAACATATTGTCGGCTGGAGGAGACTCGTCCGGAAAAGCTCATCCTTGAGCTGGACATGCGGACTTATCGAAAATTGAAAATGGGAAAAAAGGAAAATGGAAAACTTAAAACGAAATTAAAAGCGAAACGTTTCGCTCTGTGATTTTGACAATTGCCCCCTCCTCGCTGCTGTTGCCTTTTGCCACATTTTGTTGCAAAATATGATTTCATTGTGTTCAAATTGAATTAAATTCTTGGAGTGTGACGTTGCTTGCCACGACCCTCGACGGCATAACACCCCCCTACCACTCCTCCCCCCACCCGTCAGCTACCTCTTGGGTCGCAGCTGCCATGACTCTATCTGCATCGCTCCATCTCTGTTCAGCAGCTCGCCCCTGTCTCTTTCGGCTCGGGTATTTTCCTTTTGGTAGCTTTCGGAACGGAAGCGGATATTTTCAACGCGCCATTGTTATTTTTTGAGTGCGGGAAATTGTTCGTCCCAACTCTTGCCCTCTCTCGCTCTCCTCTCTTTCTGACTCTCTGACGCTTTCCTCGTTGCCCCAACACCCGCTATCCCTCGGGCGAAAGCAAACGAAGCGAGGGACCGAACCCAAGCGTCGTCCTTTTTGCTGGCGCTACTTTCTCTTCCTTCCCCTCTTTGGCTCTCTATCTCTGTTTCTCTTGTGCATGCAGTAAGAGAAAAATTGGAGACTTTTGTGGATTTTGTGGCCTACTTTAGTGGGTTTTAAATGAAATTTTAAAACTAAATTAAAATTATTGATTTATTTTTATTATTTAATTATATTAAAATTAATAATTTTTTTTTTGAGTGTTTGTTTCCTCATCCGCTTCATGCTTATCATTGTGTTGAGCTTCATCGTCCTTTTGGTCAGGTCTCCCCCACTGAATCCTCTTCCTGCCCGTGCCACCGCTCCCCCTTCTCGCCTGTGTCGTCGTCCTTATGCCGCCCCCGGTGCCACGCCTTGTCGACAGCTTTGTTTGTGTTGTAAATATAATTTTACGACTCTGCCTCTGTCAGACTCGGGACCGGGACCGGGACTCCCTTGCACACTCGCTCGCCCCTGCTGTCAGTCATTTCGTCAGTTTGTCTGTGTCCTTTGGGTGGATTTTCCAACTGAACCGCCACCCAAGCTATCCCCCCCTTGCCTTTGCCTTTGCCCTTCATCAACTGTCGCTGCTTTTTGTCTGTCGCTTTTTCTCCCCCACTTAACATTTTATTAAGCGAAAATGCTTGTGCCGTAAAATGTGCGCTTACATGTTGCCCGCCCGCCCATCTTCCTGCCTCCCTCCCCCTGCTGGCATGTTTTCCCATCCCCTGGCCGCCCCTGCCATCCCTGCTGCTGCTGCTGCTCTGCCGCAGTCATCGTCGTCATTTTCATTTCCTGTGGTCGTATTTATGCTTTTTATTTGAATTGATTTTATTTCGTTGCCTTTTCCATGTGGCGTGAGCCGCAGCTTATCCTTGTGTTTGTCCCTTCATCTTTATGCGAGTCCTTGTCGCTGTGAGGGTGTGTGTGTTAAGAGCTCGTGTGTGTGTGTCGCTGTGTTGTGTAGTTAATACGTTGATTTCATTTTTATTTTTATGATCCCTTTGCCACTTTAATGTTAATTTTACGACAATGATGTAGATGATGCTTCAGAAAACTGAAGCGAACCAAGGAGAATCTGTCTGCGGTCTGGTGTTCAGATGCTCGTACTTACAGATATGCCTTACACTGTATTCGAGGTGTAATAAAAAAACAGATTTTTTTATGAGGAAATCCAACAAGCAATGTGGATAGTTTAAAGTTTTTTTTTTCAATTTTTATTAAAAGTTTTTCTATAAAACTAACTAATTGTTGAAAAGGCTTTTTATTTGCTTTTTTTAGTTTGTAACTTCCCTAGAGTAGTCATGTTTAAACATGTTTCTGTCTTAATGGCAAGCTATTTATTAGATATGGTATAATATATAAGATATAGTTGGTTATAGTATAATACCCTCTTCAAGATTATGATAATTATATTTGTTTGCTTCTTTAGTTTGTAACATTCCTTAAGTAATCATGTTTAAAAAAGTTTCTGACTATATGTCAAGCTGTAGGTTAGATATAGTATAAAAACTAAGATATAAGTGGTTGTAATTGAAAATTGCAATATAATAACTTCTTTATAATACCCTCTTTAAGGTTATAATAATTCTGTTTCTTTGCTTCTTTAGTTTGTAACATCCCTTAAGTAATCATGTTGAAACAAGTTGAAGCTGTACATTATTCGACAGCGTCTCTCACAAAGTTTCACATGAATATCTCTACAATCTTAGTCCATATGTACTTTAGTCTTGTAATCTAGTCTAGTATGTATTACTAGCAGTATACCGGTTAATATGGAAACACAAATACCAAAGCTTGACTTGTTTCCACTAAATTACTGCAATGAGTTAGAGCCTTGATCCTGAGAATTTGTGGAAATTGTTTTGGGCATATTTACACATCCGAAACAATAATTTTCTCACCTCAAACCCCCCGGACTGTTTGCACTGGCCATGCTAGTTGTAGCCGGGCCTAATTGCCGATTCGCTTTCCATGGCCAACCGCCTTGGCCGGCTGGCTGGCTGGCTGGTAGCACGTTAATGGCCCGGGGTACGCATAAAATCAGCAATTAC